TTGTATGCTTGGGTTGGGATTTAATTTTATTAATTATAGGATCCCAAGCAGATGGTAGCATCCAGCCTTCTTCCTGATTGAAATTAGGATGTTTTTTGATTTCAATATCCTCACGAATCATCCTTAGAAGGAGTCGGTGTTGTTTAGCGAGGTATTGTGGTCTATCAAATCTAATGCAGTAACGAGGGCAATCCTGTACGTGTTCACATACTGCAGACTCCCAGGTGCGTCGATTCTTCACATCAGCTGTGTGTTGTCTTGGAACAAAAATTAATAATTTTAATCTGGATGTAGCCATGGTTAACTATGACATTAGGATGTCAAACACCTCACTGCCCTCTCTGAAAATGGGTTCTGTAAAGTGCTCGAAATATTAGGGATATAAAATAAGTTAATGTAGGCGATAAAATCCGTAAAACTAGTTTTATTTATGTGGGATTTTGAAAGGCTGTAATGGATGACTGGAAAAACGCCATATGCTTGAGCTTTTTAGCTCTGACATGTTCGACACTAAACCGTGGACGAGCTATACTACCGATGGATACATCAGCATAGGGGATGAAATACCGCTTGACGCATCAGATTAATAACAGCGTCCCCATACTCACAGCTCAACAGAATTGCGGATGAGAAACAGTCCTGCCGCCATGGATAAGATGCAAAGACACATCTCGCCTAAATCCACTGACTTGTACTCACTATGCATGAATAAGGCGAGGAAGTTACAATCTTAAACAGCGATCCAACTAAAAATATTATTAACATCCAAGTATAATTGGTAAAAAGTATAAAGCTTGTATGTAGTTTTATAGAAAAAGGGTGATAAACTAGCACACAGACCCCCTGACGTTAAGTGGATGCTGTGGCCTATAGACGTTTACTTTTATCCTCAATAAAGAATCAAAATGCAGATGCGTTGTCACCCCTGAGAACTAAGATAGAATGCCTTGTATTCAGTAAAAATTGTTTCCAGTTCTCTACACTCACCATACAAAACACAGCAGCATTAAATCCCTATGTTACCCTGGTATTCTGTGAGAGCGTAGTCTTTCCCGATCGAACCATTCGTGCTACAGCCATAATACAGCAGCAGCGTGGCTCTACCGCGTTAAAAATTTGCACCACTAACATTTCTGCCCGATGCTGCTCTAGATATCTTACGGCTAGAGTAAATGATGGTTGTAACACCATTTATTGGACACCATGAGTTCTTTTTGCGTTTCCAATAGTCCTTACGATACTAACAGTACGAAGGAGTCAAGTAAGGACAGTAGTTTATTTTCACGTAGCCAACACCATATAGCAGGAAATGTTGATACTGTTACTATTACCGTTACAGTCTATAAAAATCACATAGACCTCCCCCATATATTGCCTCATAGGGGGATATTTGCCATAGTTGTAATGTTACTGTTGATTTAATAATTTCACTTCTCCGTGGGTCATGTGCTCCTGGTAGATTATCTTCTATACATCCATTCGTTACAGCCTATTCAAGTCTGAACTGAACATAGGCCTAATTCATAGATTGCTTCATAGGGGGATATTTGCCATAGTTGCGTAGTATATTATTATTGATAAACGTATTAGCGTAATTTAAAGTAATATATTAGAACGAAGTTCCTTGTCGGACGGTACGTTTGGCGGGAGCTAGGCAACAAAAAGTGTAAGATTTTTTTGCCACTACCCATTGTGTCATAGTGTATTTTATTTTAAATGACGCTTCATTTTAATAGACGCTAGTAATACATTTATTAGTATTTGTTAATCAATAATATAATACGTTTATCAATAATAAGGAACTACGTTCCAACCGAGTGTTCCACGACACTCACGCATGTTTTTTTGTATCTGTATGTATGTATGTATGTTTTTCTGTCGTAGTATTTTATGGTTGATAAACGTATTAGTGTCATTTAAAATAATATTTCTTTCATGGCAAGATAAGAAAAAGTACAAGGGAGATGGAAATTATTCCATCTCGCTTCCTTATAGCCCAAGGTTGTGACGAAAAATTCTTACATTTTTTTTCGCCTAGCCCCCCATTCGCCAAGTCCGTACCGTGCGTTAAGGAACAACGTTCCAAAAACTAAAAACAAAGTTAAATTTATCATATAGTCCTACTTTCATCGGTATAGATTAAATTAAAATCTGAGTTGCGTAGTCAGATTATTTCGGTTTTATTATTAAGTATACACTAGTCACTTAAATTTTATCAGATGCAGTTCAAAATTTGTTGCTTAAACACAAAGCCAGGAATCATGCAATTCTTTGGCATAATCTCGTTTCGCTCACGTTTGACAAGCATTTTGATCAAACATCTTGCTAACCAATTTACTAGCATATGTCAAGGCACAAAAAGAAGACGATAGTCTTTGGTTTAGCAAAGCAGTGCGCTCGACCACCTTCGGCTACATCATCACTGCCACTAGGTTGAATAGTAGTCGCGTAATGGTTATAAAAATTAATGTAAAGGACTGGTTGAAGTTTTAAATAATATATAACTTCTAAACCTTTATTTATTAAAACAATCACAACTTTCACACTTTTCTTTTTTATGTATGTTGCATTTTTGTGTTAATAAGACGATATATCCACAGTACTGTGAACTTAAATTATAATAATTAATTTATGCAATGGTAATCTGTGAACGTTTAATTTCCCCAAGTTGCAGTTAACACAATATAACGGGTTAGTTCTAAAAAGAAAAAATAACGAGATTGTACGATGTGAACAAATTTAACTGATGAAAAAAGTTTCTAAAAGATTGATGTTAAAAATTTCTAGATTAACGCAATCTTTTCAAAATGAACTTAAGTAGCACTTGTGGGTTTGTAACACTGAAAATAATGAGATTTTTCAATTCGACACAGGACATTGCTACAGTTCGCCCGAAGAGAAACAAAATATCCTAAAGTTGTTAACGCGAATTATCGCTATGATTATTAAATCTTTAGTCCAATATTAAGAAGCGACCACGTAATTTCTTTCTCTATGGGAAGACATAACTACATCGTTTTTTTTTATTATATGGAGTGATAAACGAGCACACAATCCAGCTGATGGTAAGTGGTAGCTGTGACACATATACATCAATGAAGAATCAAAATACAGATGCGTTGTCACCCGTGAGGACTAAGATGGAATGCCTCTTTTCCAGCAAAAAGGGTCTCCGGTTCTCTACACTCACCACACGAAACACAGCAGTGTTAAGCTGCTATTTTTCGCTGGTATTCTGCGAGAGCGCGGTCCCTCCCCGGTCGAGCCGACCCATTCGTGCTACAACTATACTACTAATATAGCTGCAGCATTGCTCCGCCACGTAAAAATCCATCCTGATTATAAATTATAATATTTTAGCCAATGTTGCATAGGGTATATATGAGGGTAATATTTAAAAACAATTCAATTTTCAACTTTTTGTTCCCCTTGCCATGTATATATAGATGCACAAGGTGCATACAGATTTTATTAATGACTTTTTGTAAATTGTAAAATTCAGGCTGCAGGTTTCCTTTCCCGAGGGGTAGAGCTAAGGAGTCAGGAGAAAAAGGTAACATGTACCACCTAGAAAAGGTTCTAGGAAGTACATATTACCTTTTTACCTATATCTACTGCCAAATACCAGTGCTTGATATTCCATCTTAGACCTTAAAGGTGATAACGCATCTGTAACATTTTTATTTGAAGTTAGTTGCATGTGTCCATGGTAGTCACTTAACATTAAATGGACTGCAAGTTCATCTGTTACTTCAATTTAAAAAAAAGAACTGCAAAAAATCCTACCTAAAATATTATTATTAATGCTCAAGATCACTTTTACCGTAGCATTTTCTTTAAATTACTTGGAACTGATTCTAAATGAAATGGCAATATTCTTGCTCAATAAGTACAGTTATCTGAGTTCGAGTAAATAATAAGTTAGCACATTTATTATCTATCAGTCTTAAGCTTTATTTTTTCCTATCTTACATTCCTTATTGTTAAGAATTATGAATATAATAAAATGAATAATTACAATTTTCAAGTTAAATTTTTACATTTTTATGTCGTAGTAATTAATATATTATAATAAGCAATTTTATTAAAAACATAATACACATTTTTTTAAATTTGAAATTAATATTCGAGTAATACTACAGTTATAGACCGATTAAGATAGCAAAGTTAAATTAGCTAAATAAATATAAAATTCTACCAAGGTTGATGTTACTATTATTATGTTGCGTTTTTTATTAACTAAGGAAATATTTAAATTAAATTATTATATTTAACCGTGTTGTGACTGTACGGTGTAAAAATATCCACTTCCCTGTATCGTCCCGGGGGACGTACGAAGTACTACGTTGTAAGTATTTTCCTAATAATAACTAAAAAAAAACGTTGGCTACCAACCAGCTTGCCATGCGTGGCAGTTATGACAAATATACCTTCAATGAGAATTGCCTCATATTTGCCAAAAGCTTACAAAAAGTCCGCTGATGAATATAGGCCACAGACTGTGTTCACCAGGGGACATTATGTGGAATGATAACGGTATAGGTAAATATATAAATTATAAAATATTAAATCAATCAACTCTGTTCTATTCTCCAATAATAGTTATTAAAGTCCCTAACAGTAATAATTGTTATTAATTGTGGGAAGAAAGCTTTCGTTAAGATCACGAAAGTTTTACCTTTCCGCTTGTGTACGTCAGAGCATCCGCACCGCAACCGTCATCCAACGCAAGTGGCTCGGCCATTGATACACACATAGATTGTTACACCACTACGTACACCGTCTGTGTGAATGAAACCCGAATTCTTGCGTATACGCACCCAACTGATCGTATTAACGTGAAATTATTTCGTCGGTACCGGTATAATCGGACGCGTTTAGGTTCACTTTTCATGTCTAGCTGGCGGCGCTTGGTAGTGGGGTGAGATGCTTAAAACAGACGGTCTTATACATCGTGGCCACACTTTGTACCAAGCTTTCCGTAGGGGTAGTAAGCAAATATGAGAGGCTACGTAATTGCCCTATTTCTGGTCGCGACAGCGCGGGCGATGCCTGCGCTGGACCAAGATGTAAAAGACCAAGGATTAATGGGCAGCGTTATGGGTGTTGTTAAGGAGTGTGTAGATGGCGACGTGTCCTTGTGCCTTAAGGTTGTACCCGTGTAGTGACGTGCAGTGTTTGTGATATATGTGATTACTAAGTATGTCTTTTGGTTGCAGGAGAAAACTTTGAAATATGTAGAGTCACTGTCAACAGCACGGGAGATGGATTTGGTGGACGGTGTAACTCTTCTCGGTACGGGATCCCCAAGATCAGCGCGAGCCTACGAGCCCTTGGCTGAGGAGCCTAAGGCGAGAGAAGCTCAAGTGGAATCGAGGCTATTGGATACGGCTGCTGACTTCTTGGAGAACCATGTCATACAATTTAAACTGCCATCATCGGCTATTGAAGGCATGAAGCGTTCCTTAGAAGAAGGTATGTTTTATTCAAAGTTAATAACTATAAGATTGTAAATTATTTGAAATACATTAAAATTTAAACCATTTTAAGAACATGTAAGTTACAATATTTTGTAGATATTGGGTAAGAAAATCTACTTATTTTTATGCTGCACTGAAGCTTTTGCACACATTTCTATTTTATTTAGCATTACACATAAAAACTTCTGGTGGCATTTTTTACGTCACTTGATTGTATTTTTAGTTGATATAAGTAAAATTAAGAGTTTTAAGTACACGTTTATTTAAACTCTTACTGTATACTCTACTATACAAGCACAAACCATACGTTGATATTGGAGTATTGCCAATAACTTTCGTTTTTCTGTACATTACATCAGTAAATGTTAATGTATTACGAAACAAAAAGGAAGTATAACAAAGAACAACGAGAGACGTACAAACAAAATAACAGCAAAGAAATGAAGTAGGCCAACAGACGTTGACCGACTGAATAAAAATAAATGATAATTTTTATGTAATAGTTCACGGTTTAGATTACCTCAATGTTTAACAAACAGAGCAAAAACTCTGTTGTGTGAAGCAGATATGAAATTGCTTTATTATTTTTAACATTTATAAATTTAAATATGTTTTCCTTTTTCTAAATGAATTGGCGTAAATTTTTATTTTTAAACGATATAGCAGGAATTTTAGAATAATTATTATTGTTTATTTAATTATTCAACAAAAGATTTCATTTTTTTTTTGATTTTTTGCCTTAGTTAAAAAATATTTTGGGTATGTTTTAGAAATGTTCTAATGCTAAAATAAGGTTAAAATTCACATATTTTTATGTTCATATCAACCAAAACAAAATACACCAATAATAAAAAAAAATGGTATATCTCTGAATATGACAAATAATTGGCAAAGTATAAAAAGAAAACAACTTTTACTTTTTGATGATTGGACCACAGTTAATTATTCTTAATATTTTTGCTTTCTGTTAAATAATCGTTTTTGTCACTTTCTCTCGCATCAAGAAGGACCTGTTCCACTTTCACTCCTGTGTCACTGTCCGCCTTATTACCATAAACACGTTTATATGGTTATTATAATTATGAATGAGTCGCGATTTTGAATTAAATGTCGGACTAATTTGCATCGGACGACTGGTCCGAGATTAGTAACAAAACTTTGTTGTTCCGGATAAATAATTTACAGTCATATCATTTAATAATAAATTAACAGAATAGGGTTACAATAAAAACGACTGAGCGTAATTTCAAAGAAATATTTAAGCTTGTAAAAGAACTTGTTAGTAAAATAAAACTACATAAGTTCAGACTATAAATGAGCTTCCTGATATTGGAGAACTTTTTGATATACTTAAAGTCAGATATGGCAAATATCCCTAAGAGGCGATCTATCGGGGAGGCCTGTGTATTTAGCAATGGACTTTTATGGGCTGTAACGGAAGAAAGTTATAGCTAGATTTAGATCAATATACAGGTGTATGAACATATATGGATATTAACTCTATATATAAAAATCAATTGCTGTCCGTTAGTCTCGCTAATACTCAAAAACAGACCGATTATGAAATTTTTGTGTGTTTGTGTGAGTCTCTGTATTGTTTAGATTCAGAATTGGACCCGGTAGGTGGCGCTGTTGCCAAGATCCAGAAATCAACCGTGGGAAGCCGGGGCGGATCGCTAGTATAGAATATATATGGGACTATCTCGTGTCTACATTGTGATGTATATGTCCGGCACTTATAGCTATCGAAGTGAGAACCACTTGGACTTTCTTTAGATTAAACAAAAATCATTTTTAGATGAATAAATATTATACCGTTTATAGCGTTATAATGCCGAGAATACGTCATATTAGTATATAGATTTCTGACTTGTACATTTGTCAATTTACTATAAATTTATAAAAGACTAACGATCCGCCCCGTCTTCGCATGGGTAATTTCTGGATCTCAATAACAACGTCACCTGCCGAGTCCATTTGTGAATCTAAACCATTCTTGAATCAACTTAATCACACACACAAAATTTCATCAAAATCGGTTCAGTTGTTTAGGACGAGTTCAATCACATACACAAGAATTTTATATAATATATAGACAGTATAAGTTATATGCCATATTGCGGTAAAAGAAAATCCATTACCTCAAATCATCCCGTGGTTGCCATAACAAGATGACAAAAGGAAACTGACACAGGAGACGACTGCGTCGTCCTGATAAAAATTTTGATAGTAATCCAAACCTCAAACGAAATTTTAATTCCTTATGCCGTAAGAACATTATGTGTGTAGAGAATTATTATACTGGTAACGGGGCATTCCATCTTAGTCCTCAGGAGTGACTACGCATCTGCATTTTGATTCGTAATCGAGGATAGATGTGTATGTTTATGGGCTACAGCAAACACTTACCATCAGATGGACTGTGTGCACGCTTGTCACCTTTAGTCTATAAAAAATATAAATGTATATTTCATTTATTTTCATAAAAAATTGGTTGCCCGCTAAAACGTCATAGCTAAATATCTCCCTATGAAGCAATCTGTTGGCAAGACCTACGTTCAGTAGACTTGTGATGGACTGCAATAAATATAAAATGATCACATTCTATTCTGCATCAAGCACCAAAATATATTCCATGTTTTATTATACAAAAATTTTAAATGTTAGCTTGCCTTTATTATTTCTTTGATAACAGTACAATCACTTAACTTTTACTATTAATTACATACTAAATTCAATAACACGTAAAGTTGAGAAAATAATTTTGTATTTTATATTTCATACTGTTTTGTCACATATTTCGGTAAAATTTCTATGAAAAACGTCATTGATAAGCGAAGCGGCACGTACATTTTAACAGAAGGAATCCATCTGACCCAATTCCTGAGCCACATTCGTATGCCTAACAGGTGGTAATACGTGGACGCACAATCGTAAACATAACCACGTCCACTAGGTCAGGAAAGTAGAACTTAACATTCCTACCACGGTCATTAGACAAGTTCCGCACACTTCGGGTCCTTTGGTCCCATCGAGCTTTCATGCTCAAACCAGTTTCCTTTGCGAGCAAGTCATCGTGAAATCGCGCCATAGCGGACCAAGCACTCTTCTTTCTTGAAATATAAAGAAAGTTGTTTCTCCATTCTTGCTGGTCAATTATGATCTCCGCATGGTCATTGCATGTGTCGTTTCTCTCAATCTACATTGTTACGGTTTACGCGATTCGTGTTTATTTTAATTTGAATTAGAAATTATAAACTAACTTAATTAAGAATAAATCTCAATTAAGAACTTAAACACTTTTCCCTAATTAAAATAATATGTATTAGCTTAACTAGTTCACGTGTAGTGAAACTTCAGAATGAACAACAAGCAAAAATAATTTTTTTGAATATTAAATCGACAGATATTTATTTAAAGTTAGAAAGCTGGTTTAATATAGTATTATAGTATATAATAGGTCAAAAGACCTTTGAAAGGCATCGTATCATGTTTAAGAGGATTTTAGGACTAGGAAATGTCTGCAGCGCTTCCCTAATGAGTGTTGGTGGAGCCTCTTAGCTACTAAGGCTAAATACATAATTAAAAATTAAAATTTTTGACTTTAATATAAATTATTAAGATTAACCCAAAAACTATTGGTCAGACCTTGATCAAATTTATATGGGACCACATTTGAAGCACCAGCTGTCAAATAAAAATAGAACAATGAATCATTGAAATCGGTTCACCCAGAGAGAAGTTATGAGGTAACACACATAAAAAAACATACAGTCGAATTGAGTACCTCCTCCTGTTCGAAGTTGGTAGAAAATAGCTAAATAGGTCTCCCAGAGAGCTATGGAAGGGGCTATGCTCTGGGTTTCTCTATGCGATAAGCTTAGAAATGAGGATATTCGCAGTAGAACCTGGGCTGGCCATATAGCTCGAAGAATTTAACACCGATGTGGAAGAAAGGTAGTCAAGTAGCGGTCTTGTACCGGTAGGCGAAGTGTAGGGTAACCCTCCACAAGATGGAGTGACGACCTGGTAAGACACGCAGAAAGCCGATGGATGCAGGTGGCTAAGGACTGTACTTTGTGGTATTCTTTAGGGGAGGCCTATGTTCAGCAGTGGACTTGTGAAGGAAATGATAATGATGATGAACGATGATAAGATAGCTCAATAACAAAAGGTATCGTTTGCAATAAAAAAAAAATCAATTATTTCGAATAAGTTAGTCATAAACTATGCATTATCAGGTATTTGCGCAAATAATAGATACTATAACATTTCTCATAGTTTAATCTTACTGATGATGACTGATGATTTCATATAACTGGTATCATATCGATATTTGTACTAAAAGTTTGTCGGCAAAAGCTATTACAAACAGGATAACACAGTCAATAGTCTTACAAACTTTTTCCGAAAATTTCCGCCGTAATTCCACTACTCCATGTTATCCTGTAGGTAACATAACTAAATGTAATAAAAAAAAACTGCCGTTACCAAGCAGCTTGCAGCGTGGTTACTATGGCATCCATAAGGCAATCTATGGGGGAGGCTTATGTTCAGCAGTGGATTTTGACAAGCTGTAATGTTGATGATGATGATGATTTTTACAAACTACAACAGTTTTGCATTAATTGCGCGATTCTTAACACGAGTTCGCTTATATTGTTATAAGATTAATGAGACAATTCAGACTGTAAATATGTTTGATAACAAGCAATGAAAAAGCAAATTGACGACTCCGTGGCGCAGTGGCTTAGCAATGAGTTGCTGCGCTGGGGGCCGCGGGTACGAATCCCGCACGGAACAAGTATGTGTATGGCCTGCAAATAATTGTTCCGGGTCTGGTTGTTTGTCCTTGTGCAATTTGTGTTTGTTTTGGTAACGTTATTTTTTAAAAAGTAGTTTGTAAAATTATTTACTTTAAAGTCGAAAAAAAGTACAGTGCGAATTCACTTAGCATTTATTTGATAGGCTAATATAAAGGTTAAATAACCTTTAAAATAGTCTATTAAGTAATATACACACACATTCATCGCGTAGTAAATTAACGCCTCAGTTAATGACATTTATTGGCACTGTGGATCCCTCATATTGTTTTAAATTTCATTTAGTTTCAAATATTCAATTCAAATTTTGCCTTGGTAGCTAAGCGCTCGCTGTAAATCTCACAGTACGCGAGGAACTCGGGTTCAGTCCCCGCTGGCACCAAGGAAATTGTTAAATGTAATTTTAAGTGCTGATTTACAACTTGCTAAGCGGTGAAAGAAGCCATCGTGGTGTCTCCGCGATGTTTTCCTGTCTTGTCTAGTTAGCATATCTGAAAAAAAGAAAAAAAAATATTTCGAAGACATGTGAACTTCTCCAACACGCATTGGGGCAACGCCGCGGATATTTTCTTGCCCTAAAACCCTCTCAGAAATGACAGGAAGCCTTTTACTATAAATTTTATTAAATTCAATTTATATATTTCAGCTCGTGGTAAGAAGAAGAAGATCAAGCAGCTCATTCCTCTCTTGGCTATCGCGAAACTGAAGATTATGGCTCTCATTCCTCTGTTCTTGGCTATAATTGCTTTCGCCGCAGCTAAAGCTGTCCTCCTGGCCAAGGTTGCACTCTTAGTTGCCGGTATCATTGCCCTGAAGAAACTTTTGGCAAGCAAACACCATGAAACAAGCTATGAGGTCGTTGCTCATCCGCACCATGAGGAGCATTTCGCTAGCAGTGGACACGGTTGGGGAAGATCAATCGATGATGCCCAAAACTTGGCTTACTCCGGCCACATTAAATCTGATTAGATAATTGCTCATGGGTTCACATTAGAGCCAATTTAGATCCTGAGTCATTACAGACATGTTTTATTTATTTGTTAGATTTTAGAAAATATTTATTGTATATTTATTCAACGACGTCCCTTCGTAAGGGACGATAATCGAATGGGAAGAAATGTTGTTTGTTTTCATAAACGTTCGTTCTGAGTTTGTATGGTATTCTCAATGTATGTACTACATTAGTATTTCACACCCAATACGGTATCCGTATTTGTGTATTTTGTTATTTAAACAATACTTATTTAAGCCCTCTTTACGTATGAGAATAATAATTTGTCTTATTCTAGTCCTTGATATCTCATTACTATATTATATTCCTTTTAGTTTACTGTATATTTACTACTTTCTATTATCTAGATAGCATTATGTTAGTACTGTGTCTATATTTGTAAATACATTAGATTAACTTATTTCTATTTTCTTATATTGCATAATCTATTTATGTATAAATAATTACTTTATCTTGTATCTTATATATCTAGCATGAACACTGTGATTTTTATATACACACACACGCACGCACACACGCGCTTATATAATTATTATATATTATATTTATATAGAATATTTTGTAATTTGTTACATTTAGTTTATATTTATATATTTTTCCTTTTTGTAGAAACAAAAATAAATCTACTTGCAGATTATTGAATACTGTAATTAAGTTACCTAAATATCTTTCATTCGTTATTGTATAAATACATCTATGAGCTGAATATTTAATATACATATATATTTATTATTATTTATGTACTTTTTGAATATTTTATAATATTTCAAGCCTTAGTTAAACACACTTACGTATTATATATATATTATAAAACAATTTGTTTCATGTATTTATAGATTTACATTTTTCGTAATATGTTTACGTTTTAGTTTTTGTATGCACATTTATATAATATTTCTTTATATATTTATGTTATATTGCACATATTATTTATAATTTTCATAGAGAGATTCATACAAATAAAGAACTAAAAACTTAACAAGCTTATTATTTGAATGCAACCTTGATCATTTTCGACCGTTGTTTTGATATAATGATTTTAACTCTTGTACAATCGTATTAGTTTTATTCTCGTTAATATTTCCCGTAACTTTAAATTTAGTTCGTTCGTTATTTCCAGTTTAAGCTGACTTACTCGTACTGTGGTTATAATTATAGCATCAGTGTGGCGCTATAAAGTATTAAATTCATCTATACTAATATAAAAAAGCTTAAGAAAGTTTTTTTTTGTTTTTGTTTGCTTGAACACACTAATCTCTGGTACTACCAGTCCTAAAATTATTTTTATATATTTTTGACAAATTCATGACAAATAGTATAGGCTACAAAGCATTAAGATACACCGAACAGCTAGCCGTAAAATTGATTTATGTTGAGCAACTCCCCCGAACTGCTTTATTAGCGTGCGTAATGATTAGTGATACGTGAATAAAATGTTCTACAGTAAGTAGGTTCATAAATGTTTACAACTTGTACGCAACAAGTAATCAGTGTTTATTTTACACGTGTCCTTGTTATTTAAATAATGTTTATAAAAAATTAATAATATTTATAAAAGGGTTGTCACCGAATCTCAAAAGATCAGACACTTGCATCCTTGACTAATTTCTGTTAATTTCTGTAATCACCAAGCTTGGCAAGCGGGTTAGCAATTAAGGGATCAGACAGATCTTTGACGTGACTCGCCATCAGTGGTGAAGATCTTTTCCAGATTAACTAAAATGAGTTTCTACTTAACTTATCTTAACCCTATCTACAAAAAAGTCTGCAATACCATATTCCTATTTCTTATACATAAGCCATATAAGGTATCATGTGACAAAAAATATTGAAAATTAAAAAGTAATTTTTGAAAGTTACTTCATCATCAAGACAATTTTATGGAGATAGACTTTGCTTTGACTGTCGGTATATCGAATTGTTGAAGTGCTTGTACAGTAGGGCTACGATGGCTATCCGAGTACAGAACCAGAGTACGAAACCTATCCAATTGCAGAGAGGTGTAAGACAGGGTGACGTCATATCCCCGAAACTCTTCACGGAAGACGTTTTCAAGCTTCTGGACTGGAAAGGATACGGTATCAACACCAATGGCGAGTACATCACTCACCTTCGATTTGCCTACGATATAGTCCTTATGGCAGAATCGCTGGAGGACCTAAGCACTATGCTCAATGACCTCGATAGTGTTTCCCAACGGATAGGTCTTAAGATGAACATGGACAAAACAAAGATCATGTTCAATGTCCATGTCACACCTATGCCGGTAGTTGTTGGGAGCACTAAGCTCGAAGTTGTTGACGAGTATGTTTATCTGGGACAAATAGTCCGACTAGGTAAGTCCAACTTCGACCGAGAGGTCAATCGACGGATTCAACTCGGCTGGGCAGCGTTCGGGAAGCTACGACACATCTTCTCGTCAGACATACCTCAAAACCTGAAAACGAAATTGTACAACCAGTGCGTGTAGCCAGTGATGACTTATGGAGCTGAGACGTGGTCCTTCACTGCTGGCCGTATGAGGAAGCTCAAGGTCGCTCAGCGAGCTATGGAGAGGGCTATGCTCGGAGTTTCTCTGCGTGATAAACTTAGGAATGAGGGTATCCGCAGTAGAACCAGAGTAACCGACATAGCCCAACGGATTAGTAAGCTGAAGTGGCAGTGGGCCGGCCATATAGCTCGAAGAACCGACAACCGATGGGGAAGAAAGGTTCTCGAGTGGCAGCCTCGTACCGGTAGGCGAAGTGTAGGGCGTCCCCCCTCGAGATGGAGTGACGACCTAGTAAGACATGCAGGAAGTCGATGGATGCAGGTGGCTCAGGACCGTGCTTTGTGGCATTCTTTGGGGGAGGCCTATGTTCAGCAGTGGACTTGTGAAGGGCTGTAATGATGATGATGATGATGAGACTTTGCTTCTTTTAGCATGTTATTTGGATGGGCAGTTTAAGAGATAATGAAAAAATTAAATAATTCAACACTCCGCTCTGCGCGCGAACGACGCATATAGTCGACCGATCAGAATCGAGAGAAACCAGCAGTGAACGCCGGTGCTCGAGGTGTTCCTGTATAAGACAGTTACTGTACTCTGTGGCGAGGTGTCCACGTGCCATTACATTTACTACGGCGGTGAAGGAAAACATTGTGTGGAAACTGACATGTCTGAGAAATAAAAAAATATTTTGAAAACACAGCTAGAATAAAATATTTTCCTTGAAGCAACAACCTTTTTTTACGTTGTAGAGCCATGTTGCAGCTATATTAGTAATATAGTTGTAGTACGAATGAGTTGGCTTGACGGGGGAAGAACCACGCTCTCACAGAAAACCAGCGTAAAATAGCAGCTTAACGCTGCTGTGTTTCGTATGGTGAGTGTGGAGAACCGGAGAGCCTTTTTACTTATAAAGAGGCATTCCATGTTAGTTTTCACGGGTGTGAACGCATCTGCATCTTGAGTCTTTATTGAGGATAGGTAATATAGTTGTAGTACGAATGGGTTGGCTTGACCGGGGAAGAACCACGCTCTCACAGAAAACCAGCGTAAAATAGCAGCTTAACGCTGCTGTGTTTCGTATGGTGAGTGTGGAGAACCGGAGAGCCTTTTTACTGATAGAGAGGCATTCCATGTTAGTTCTCACGGGTGACAACGCATCTGCATCTTGAGTCTTTATTGAGGATAGATGTAGATGTCTATGGGTCACAGTAACCACTTACCATCAGGTGGACTGTGTGCTCGTTTGTCACCCTATCCTATAAAATAAAACTTGGCGACAGTAGCCTAATGTTAGGGTGCGGACTGCGAACTCAAATGTCGTATGTTCAAATCCGCCATCGGTCTACTGACGGGAACTACATCTAACATAAGCATTTTAAGCTTACCCATAGTGGTAACGGGAATATTAGTAATGGTTCGGAGCGGATATGTAATGAGATAACCATTACGTTCAATTACACTATAATACTGACATAATAAAACAATGACAAATACCACAATAGCATAGCTAGTCTAATATATAAAAACTTACGTTTCTTTGTTCGTATTCTAATATAGTAAGTAGGATTTACACGCTTCGCAAGCAAATTAACAAGCGTAGAATTACAATACCTTATACACCGCAAGTTTTCATTTATATCAGGCACAATTAGATGTATCATACACACCTCAAAATATATTCTCGATTTAAAAATTAAGACATACTTGACGGTAAATTTCACACAATAAGTCGCAGTACCTAAGTAAATATTTTAACTGTGCTCGAAGTCTAATCTTTAAATGCTCTAATAAGAAATATTTATGATATGAATCTTTTATTTTTTATATCATCCATCCCTCCATTACAGCTTGTTACAGTCCACTGCTGAACAAGGGTTAATACGGCATTCAGCAGTGAATGACTGAGTTTCGGATCAGTAAGTCAATTCTTACATGGTAGAGCCACGCTGCAGCTATAATATAGTTGTAGCACGAATAGGTCGGTTCAACCGGGGAAGGACCACACTCTCAAAGAATACCAGCGTAAATTAACAGCTTAATGTAACTGCCTTTCGTATGGTGAGTGTAGATAACCGGAAACCCTTTTTACTAGAAACGAGGAATTTTGGAATTAAGAGCTAATTTTGTTTATAGAATAAGAGTGATAAACGAGCACACAGTCCACCTGTTGATAAGTGTTTGCTGTGCCCATGGACATCTACATCTATCCTCGTTTGCGAATTAAAATGCAGATGCGTTATCAGCCGTGAGGACTAAGATGGAATGCCGCTTTTCCAGTAAAATGGGTCTCCGGTTCTCTACACTCACCATACGAAACACAGCAGCATTAAGCTGCTACTTTTCGCTGGTATTCTGTGAGAGCATGGTCCTTCCCCGGTCGAGCCGAGCCATTCGTTCTACAACTATACTATTAATATAGCTGCAGCATGGCTCTAACACGTAAAAAATATGTTATTACTAATATGT